TACTGAGCAAGCTCAAGAACTCTAAGGTGAGACAGCCTTAGCGAACCTTCCAACCAACACGGCTGGTCAAGATCTGGCGAAAAGCTTTTCCTGCTGAATTACATCGAGGAAGACATGTCCTCACTGGATTGGTCCTGGACGAGTGGTTTTTCATGAGATCTTGCCACAACAACGTGATGGTGATGAACGTCGGCATCTGGTTTGGGTCGTTGTGGGCAATCAGCTGATGTGTTGCACAGTGCATTCGGTGCGACCAGTCACTGCCACCGAACAAGCAGCCTTTGAATTAGTTAACAAAGATGATCCAACCCAGTGGCGATCCATTGCTGACATTCTGCCTTCACGATCCTACGAAGATCTCTCTGAAGATGTTCCTGGCGAAGAAGACTGCGAAGAACCAGATCTAACCAGGAGTGCCAGATCCTTCCACTGAACTGAAGCCGAAATTTCGCTTCAATGCCAAGACCACACCTCAGTCTGAGAACATGGAAACCATTGACAAGTGGGAAGCCTGGCGTCCAGCAGTTCTCGCCCGTCAATTCCAATTCCCACCTGTCAACTCCTATGAAGATGATGCTGATGATGATGATGATGATGATGATGACTATGACCATGAACAAGAATCTCCACTTGATGATTCTGAACCACCTGCGCGTAACCTTCAACATGACCCTCCGGCAGTTGAAGGTGAACAACCTGCAAAGAAACAAACGGTGGAAGAAATTTCATATGCATCATATGTACAATGTAGCATCTATCTCTCCTGATGGTGTTCGCCAAGCTCCACGTGAACATGATATGCTTTGGCTTCACCATGCAATTGCTGCTGAGGATCAACACTGGAATTCCTTCCATGCGGTTCTGGATTCTGACATGGAGGTCCTTACGATGGAATTCGACTTGGAATTTATCTCCAACAGAAACCGCAAGCACTTCCTCCACAACCCTGCAGCCTTCTTCTTGGTGAAGAAGATACGCGACACTGAAGTGAACTTCGGCAAGTTGAGCAGCGAACACCAAAAGCTGTGCACATGCACCAAAGCCAAAGAGGTGTCCAGCTTCATCTCCAACGAAGCTGTGCGCCGATACTTGGATGATGCTGAGATCAAGTTGGCCCACGACACTGGGCGAATCCTCCGCGCCCGTTGGGTCCTGACCTGGAAGCTGGTGTTCCCTCAAGATCAAGCTTCAGCTGAAAAGGATGGCAAAGAAAATGCATCCACAGTACACACTCGTGATGGTCTCAGAAAGGCCAAGGCCAGAATTGTCTTACTTGGCTATGAGCACCCCACCTTGGGTGAGGCCTCCTATCGCACCAGCAGCCCTGTGTGCTCAGTTTTGGGTCGCGATCTGATGTACCAAGTCGTTTGTCAACGAGATTGGAGACTTGAAGGCCTGGAATTGGCCACAGCCTTTCTGCAGACGGCTCCATCCTCTGCAGACTCCCAACTTTGGACTTCGGGAGTGGCTGAACACAGAGAAGCCTTGCAAGTTGGCCCAGAAGGCATCATGAAGCTCCAGCGGAACATCTATGGTTCCACGGCTTGTGATTGGATTTGCATCAAGCACTATGCTCTCTTGGTGCCCGTCCTGCAATGGGCGAAAGATGCCTTTGGCTATGGGCCAGTGAAACTGAGAAAGATGAAAATGGCAATGCCGTCATCATCGGCATGACGGGTGGCCATGTGGATGACTTTCACAGAATTGGCGATCCAAGAAGCAATGAATGGGCAACCATTTGTGCTCGCACTGATGCGGCCTACAAGTGGGGCACAGCCAAAGTCGATGAGTATAGACATGCTGGCACTGACCTCAAAGTGTCCCGTGATCGCGATGGAAACCAAACGATCACAGTGAACCAGCAGTACTACATCGACATGCTTCAAGATGTTGACATAGCTCCTGATCGACTTCGTGATGAGCATGCCTCATTGACCACTTCTGACATGGCATCTTGCCGCGGCGCATTGGGCAATCTTCAATGGATTGCTGTGCAAACTCAACATCTTCTGTGTGGACGTTGTGACATTCTTCTTTCTGAACTGATAAAGCATGGCAAAATGTCCTATGCCTTGGAGATCCAGCGCATCATCTGTGAAGTACGGCATCAGCCATCTGACCTGAAGTACGCAAAGAACTGGACAGACATTGTGGTGATCACTCTCTCAGATCAAGCACACAACAATCGACCTGGTGGTGATTCAACTAGAGGCCTGGACACTTTGATGGTAGGACCAGAGGCCAAAGGTGGACACGTCTGTCCTATGGTCTTTTTGTCATGGCAAAGCTGGAAGCTGAAGCGTAAAGCCATCAGCTCAAACGATGCTGAAGTCCAAGCTGCACTTGAAGGTGAAGATCACAATTTTCGTATACGCCTTCTTTGGACTGAGATGCATGGTGCTGGGTGGAATCGCACTTCAGCCATTGATCAAGTTGCTTGGGCAGAACAACAAGTCCGCAACACCATTGGCATTTTGGGAACAGATTCACGTGGTGGCTATGATACCGTGCAGGTCAACGATAGTCCCATGCTTGGTTTGAGCAATCTGCGTGCAGCTCTTCAAGTCTTGCAGCTCCGAGAAAGTTTGATCCGCACCAGCTGTCATTTGCGTTGGTTGGCTTGCAAGCGACTATGATCTAGGAGATGCCTTGACCAAAAAGAGACCTGATTGTCGCGCTGGTCTGATGAAATTCTTGCGAACGAGACTGTGCTGTGTAGCCTTCGATCCATCTTTTACTGCAGCTCGAAAGAATGCACAGCGTGGCAAATCTGCCATCCAGACCATCGACAGGAAGTGGGCACAATCCGACTTTTCCTTTTGGGGTGATGCACCAACTTGACTCTCGCATGCTTTTCAGATTGTGTCAGGTGTTCATCCAGATGCTCCCGCAACTCTGGTTCCGGGAAGGGGCCCCTTTTCATAGCACGGTCCACCTCGTCGCCATGGCGAACTGAGGATCTTGCGAGGTCCTGACAAAATCGGTGCGGCTGCGCACCTGCTTGCATTTGTGGTTGATTGGTGTTAGGGTTCCCCATTTGAGCCCAATTGACAGCTCCCTGTGTCACATCTGCTGCGGAGCGTTGACTCCGGGGGCTTGGAACTACAGCCTGAACACCTTCTCCGAAACAGCAAATCACCATGCTACTGCGTGGCGAATTTGCGTGTGCTTGGCTCTTGCACTTCCTTCTTGCCCAGGCCCCAGCCTATTCACTGCGGTCTCCATGGCAGGGCGCTTGCGAAACAGCAAATCACCATGCCACTGCGCGACGAAAACGGCACCCAACCGGCAGCTGCTAGTGCCTAACGTTACTTTCTGAGCCGACAAGAAGCTAGCTTCAATTTGCCAGTTCTTGGCTCTTGCGCTTCCCTTTTTCTGAACCGACAAGAAACCTTGCCTATTGGGTTTCTGCACCAACTTCATCCTCCCATGCCTTTCAGATTGTGCCAGGTGTTCATCCAGATGCTCCCGCAACTCTGGTTCCGGGAAAGGGCCCCTTTTCATAGCACGGCCCACCTCGTGGCCATGGCGAACTGAGGATCTTGCGAGGTCCTGACAAAATCGGTGCGGCTGCGCACCTTCTTGCATTTGTGGTTGATTGGTGTTCGGCTTCCCCATTTGAGCCCAATTGACAGCTCCTTGTGCCACATCTGCTGCAGTTTCCCTCTTCGTGGTTCTTGCGTTTCTTGCTTGCCCAGGCTCTTGCGTTTTTTCTTGCCCAGGTCCCTGCTTCAAATTTCGCTGTTCTTGCCTCTGCTCCAGTTTTCCTTGCGGCTCCTCTGATGCGCTCCCCCTGCCGTCGGCTGGGGTCGGCGGAGATCTTGTTAGATCTTCTTAGATCTTGTTCTATAAGGTCGTTGGTAAAGGTCTAGCATTGCGAACCTGGCTGTTGCTTGCAGGGTCTGGGTGGCGACGCGCGCATCTACCGTGACATCGGCCAGTGATCCAGGCCTAGAGTAGCTCCTCCGAGTTCTTTCATCGCCCAAAGTATTGACCTGGAGCAAATGCGAGCCAAAACTATACAAAAACAATACAATAACATACAAAAACATACTGGATTGTAGATTGGATTGTGGTGTTGTCATACCTTTCTGCTGGTTCAGCGAGCAGAAGGTTTTCCTTAAGTGAACGTATTTTTTATGGAGAGAGCCACCATCGCAACCTGGGGTCAGAATATTTTTTGGCAAGGTCAGTCCAGGTGTCAGTCTGCCAATGTTTCACCAACCACCTCGAGAGATGGAAAGGCCATGCTTTAAGCAGCTGTGCAGTCGGCTTGGAGCTATCGGAGTGCTCAGCATGCTTCGGAGCTGTCAGCAGGAAGAAATTGCGCCCCAGTATACAGTGGTTTGTTTCCCAAACTGTTTTGTGCAATGTTGAATTACTTGATGCCATTTGATAGTACTTGCTCGTCTACGATATTATCCTTCAGTTTTTTTTGGCTCTCGTGCTTATCCTGCTGAAGTTCCTATTTTTGCCAAACCCACTGGCATGACCTGAATCTCGACTGGTGGGGTGCAGTTGCCTCAAACGGCCGGGAATTGCGGAAGTCCTGACATGCTCGATGCAACATGCCGCAACGGCGCCCTGTCAATTGACCGCAGCTCTGTCCATGAAAAGAGGCCGTGTTCTGCTGGGTTTCCAGGTCAAGCAGTTTGTTTACACTGCAAGAGTCAAAAATGCAACTATAGCCTGATCGCAAGCAAGTGCTCTTTGCAGTTTCAGAGTTGGTAGATTCTGGGTGATTTGGTGGACATAGTTGTGCTGTATCAGTCTACAGTATCAGTTTGTTTATGTTGACATTTGTATGCTGATGTGTTCAATCATTTCACCAGTGATCGTCATGTTGCAGACATGTTGCCATGAATGTGACTTTGTGCGTGGGCAAGTCTCAAGCCCGTCAGCCATTGCCCTGTCATTACCTGCTGCGCACTTGATGGAAAAGCGTTGCTCCTCCGTCTTCTGATCTTTCACAGTGGTACCCGGAGCCCTGGTTTAGCATCATGGCAGAAGAGCGAGAACTACCATCAGATGAAACACTCATAGGACAGGGCAATGAGCTGGGTGAGAGGGAGCTTGGGACCAGTGAGACGGAAAGGGGCCAAAGTAGATGGACAGAAGAAGACTGGGACCTATGGAATAGAGGCTTATGGGGTTCCAGAAATCAACCACCTGGGTTCAATGCAGCCACCGAATTCAGGGTCACTCAGGGTAGTGCCGCTGCAGCACCAGAGTCATTGGGAGACTCAGCTTCTGCAGAGAGGGCGCGCACTGATCCTTGGGTCCAGCAAGATCCCTGGCGACGGTGGAGCTCGGACCAGTGGTGGCAGCCCCAGGACAACGAGAAGGGATACCAAAAGGGCGATTTTAGCGATCCTCCTGGTGGCCTGGGTTCCAACATTACCGCCTTTGGAAGAAGGCAGTGACTCGATGGGACTCAGCCACGGACGTCAAGTACTGGCGTCGCAGTGAGAAGATTTTGAAGTCCATGGATTGGGAGCTTCAATCACGTTTTGAGCACATTCCCGATCATGAACTTCAGGGCATGGGCTACTTGGCACACCTCTTCCAGGTTCTTGATGTGCTGGCGGGTGAGAAGGAGTTCACCGAGATGCGGAGGACTGTGAGAGCCGCGCTCTACGAAGGTGGACGCCGTAGTGACGAGTCACTGGGGCAATATTCCCTTAGAAGAGAAGCACAGTTCTCAACAGCTTCCAAATACTTGGACATCCCCAGCAAGTTGAAAGGGTTCATGCTAGAAGAGCAAGCTGGGCTTTCGAAGCAAGCCCTGCAAAACCTGAGGGTCTTGACAGCCGGCAACTCAGAGTATGAGGCGGTCAAGCAAGCTCTTCGAGTCATCGACACCGAGGAGGAAGCGATCTGCCGTGGGGCAAAGGGTATGTCCTATTGGCAGGGTGACGATGTCACCGCCACTGAGAGGCAGGCACAACTCGATGAAGATGTATCCGACGAAGAGGTGGACATTTTGGACACCGACCAGGTTCAGGAAGTTTTCCTTGCCATTGAGAATTTGGACCTGTGTGAAGATCGGGCCCTTAACTTTTTAGCAGATTGGCAGAAACGAAAAAGGTCTTGGAGCGAGAACAAGGAGTTGAAGAATGCCATGAAGAAGGATCGGCGCCATTTCGACGATCCGACTTCCCGTCCTCCACGAGACCGTGCAGAGGGTGGCAAGCGCAGAAAGAACATAGCCGAGCTAAAGAAGGTCACCAAATGCGCCAACTGCGGCGAGAAGGGCCATTGGCGAGCTGAATGCACTCAGCCTTATCGGCCTCGCTACGAGAAGGAGAAGACAGGCAAGAACGCCTTTGTCTACCTGGGCTCCGCAGATGGGCAAGGCAGCCATCATTTCCTCAGCAACTTCAGGACCTCGGAAGACAACTTCCTCTGTGTGCCTCCTGGCTTTGCGGTGGTGGACCCCGGAGCGGCCCAGGACTTGATCGGTGAGAAGGCCTTCCAGTTGCTGCGGGAGAAGCTGGCAAGGGTCGGCTTGAAGCCGGTAATCCTGGAGGAGAAGCCACCATCAGCCTCTGGGATTGGAGGGAATGTGCAGCCGTTGTACACGGCCTTGACACCTGTGTTCCTCGGCGGACACCCTGGCTTGGTCAAGTTAGTGGTCTTGTCCGAGGATGTGCCACAGCTGCTGTCCATCGGTCTCCTCGAGCACACTGGAGCAGTGATCGACACCACGACCAACGAGATCAACTTCAAAGGGTTGGGCACTTCCGACAACATGACAAAGTTGGAGTCCGGACACCGGGCACTTGACGTGGTTTCTCACGAGGTAGTGTTTGAGCCTCCTCCTGAGGTCCTTCAAGAGTATGGGCTCTCGAAGGGGGCTTTTGTTTACTCAGACTCCGCAGCTCCGTGTGCATGCTTGGCAGCGGCAGAGCCAGGGTTCAACATGTATCAATCTCCACACGTCTCACTTTTGGTTTGGGGTTTTGGGAAACCACCGGATCGCGTTTTGCTTGAAGATAAGCCATGGAACATGTTCTTCAAATGCACTTCCACGGAGATGAGTCCACTAGGCAGTTGTTTTGATGTAGCTTCGAGAGAGTCAGTATCCAGGGATGCGGTGTTTTTGCAGCTGTCATCACATGTGCAAGTGTCGTCAGCCAGTTTGATGCAAGCAACTGCAACCAAGTGCCAGGAGATTCAGTCATTTTCAGATGTAGACGGTCATGTCTCTGAAACGTTGGAAGTTTGTGGAATCAAGGGAACAGAAGGCATGACAGGTGATAGAGAGGTGAATGCAGTGAATCATAGGGGCTTCCAGCACCAGATGCGGCGCCTCCTCCGCAGCCTTCCAATGCTGAGAGGCCTTATCTTTTGTCTGTCCCTCCTTGCGACGTGCCATGCAGCAGATCATGCGCCCGGATGCTCTGAGCCGCCATCGCAGCGAGCAGCTCCGGGAGTACAACCAGGCGAGGTGGTTCTCCCTGACTCGGAAGCTGCTGACCACGTCGAGGGGACCTTTTTCGATGTCACTGCCGGCAACCGGGGCATCAGCCATGACCACGGCATCAACTCCATGTCCTCACAGGGAGGAAGACATCATCGAGGGGGCGAACCAATATGGGCGATGGAAGAAATGCCTGGGTTGCAACACCCAGATCAGCTTCGACCGCTACGGGCCAAGCAACCCAGCCCTGGCAGTCCCAAAGTCTGTTCCCAAGATCATCCAAGAGCATGCTGCAGTGATGAAGGCCAAGGCGAAGCCCAGTCCCGAGAACTCCTTGTCTCGGGCAGAGCTCCAGAGTGCATTGAGCCAGCACTCCCAGGAGCTGATGTCAAGCCTGAGCCAGGCATTGGGTCCCCTGATCCAGAGCCAAGTGATGCTGCAGGAGCAGATGGGCTATGTGATGTCAAGCTCATCGGCAACTACCAACCTCCAGGCTCAGCAGGGGCCCTTGCAGATGCCATTCCTTCCAGCGAACCAGGGAACGGCCCACATCGAGGGCGACGAGGAGATGCAGCAGAACCCCAACGAGGATGGCTGGGAACAATTCAACTGAGTGATAAGCCCAGCTTGCTCAGTAGGGTTTTGTCAGAATGCCTTCCGAGCGAAGTCTTGGAAGAACTGCAGCATGATGATTGGATGGTGTATCCGTTCAAGGTCTCACTTTGCCAGAATTCATTTGTACAGCATAGCGACTGTTTCTTATGGCATCCTCCAAATGAACATCAGGTGTTTTTAGTTTCTCGGGCCCCTGGTTTTGTGTTTGATTTGAAGTACAGTGATGTTTTGGATGACCATGAGTTTTTCTTGACCAGCAAGCAGAAGAAGTCCGTCAAGAAAGCAGCAAATAACGCGGAGAGGACGCAAAGACCTCAAGAAAGGGCGGCGAGGACGCAAAGACCTCAACCTAGGAGTAGGGTAGCACAAGAGCAAAAGAGTTTTGACAATAATGCGGAGAGGACGCCAGGACCTCAAGAGGGGCTTCCCCCAGGGATTATTGGAAATAAACTCATGGGGTATTGGGAAAAGTTCAATACCAATTTTCCGGGTCACTTTAGCCCTATTGGGCTCCCTCGGGCGCTCGACCATGCTGAAGCCATGTTTTCGAGAGAGAAAAGCTGGAAAGTTTGTGAGCTCTTCTCTCCACCGCGATTGACCGCTGAGATTCTGGCAAGTCACAGCAGACATACCACAACCTCACCACCAAGTTTTGATCGCAAAACAGGCTGGGAGTTCAACAATCCAGAACACCGAAGGAAGTTCTGGAAAGTGTTAGATGAACAGTCACCAGATGTGGTCGGAATGTCACCAGAGTGCCGGCCATTCAGCATTCTTATGAACTCCAACTGGTCCCGGATGGACCCCTTGGAGGCTAGAAAAATACAAGTTGAGGGTCTGGCGATGCTCAGTTTTTGTGTGCAAGTCGCCGAATACCAACTGTCCAAGAAGAAGTATTTTTACATCGAGCAGCCAGGAGAAGCTTCGAGCTGGAACACACACTCCATCTCTTGGCTGAGGCAACAGCTCGGTGTTTTTCTCATCTTCTTTGACCAGTGCATGGCCGGCCTCTCAGTAAAGCCCGACACTCTGTCTCGCAAATCCACGGGGATACTTTGTAACCATGGGGGCATAGTTGTGGAGTTGTCCAAGTTTCAGTGCGATGGGCAGCATGAGCATCTTCATCTACAAGGGGGGCTTCCAAGAAAGGCACAGGAATATCCTCCGGAATTGGTGTCAGCTCTACTGCGAGGAATTGACGGCGATGTCAACTTCAAGTCCACCAACCTGATGGCCGAGGACTTCGGCAATGAGGGAGACCCTCCTGAAGGCGATGAAGAAGAAGAAGGGAGGGACCCTGATGCCTCGGGCGTTCCTGCCCCACAGACTCCGAGGCCAGTGGTCCGGAGGGCATCGCCCCCGCTCTCTCCTCAGCAGAAAGAGATGCTGCATCGTCTGCATTGCAACATGGGCCACGCCCCTCGGGCTCAGCTGCTCATGATGTTGAAAGCTGCCGGGGCGAAAGACTCAGTACTCAAGCACGTGCAGGAAGAGTTTCAATGCGATCAATGCATGCGGCAGCATCGACCAGTTCCAAGAAAGCAAGTCACCTTTCCAAGAACTTTTTCGTTCAACCATGTCCTTGCTGTAGATTTTTTCTACATTTCCTGGATGGGAAAGACCCACGCCTTCTTAAATGTGATCTGCCACGGTACCAGCTTCCAGCAGGTGGGCCTCTTGAAGAACTACCTAGGCGGATCCCCTCATTCAAGCGCGGCGTGGGGCCTTCTCGAGTCTCTTTGGATTCGACCTTTCGGCCTCCCTAACGTCATTCTGAGCGATCAAGGCTCAGAGTTCAAGCATGTTTTTGAGAGGAAATTGGAGCAGCATGGCATCATGCAGATAGTCACTGATAGCGGCTCTCCTTGGCAGAATGGTCGTTGTGAGCGACATGGCAGCTGGGTCAAGCAGAGACTGGAGGAGGAGTTGCAATCTGGACAGGCTACTGTCGAGTCCTCAGAGGAGCTGGAGCAGCTGACGTTGAACCTGGTGGCCTGCAAGAACCGATACTTTCATCGGGGAGGGTATTCTCCATCTCAGCTGGTCTTTGGCATTAACCCGAGACTGCCGAGTGACCTTCTGAGCGATGACCAACTGCAGCTACCAGCCCTTGGCGACCTGGTCTGTGATCCAACAGATCAAGACTCAGCCGCCTCCGAGTTTGCGAGGTCACATGCCATTCGCCAACGGGCCAGAGAGATGTGTGTCAAGTCAACCCTCAAGGACAGAGTGCAACTAGGAGTGAGAAGATATGCCCACAAGGAGCGTACATGGACACAAGGTCAGTGGGTTTACTGCTGGCGGAAGTTCTCAGGAACAGGAGGAGGTCATACCACCAGAGCCCGTTGGATGGGACCAGGCCTTGTCATTCAACAGCAAGGTCACACAGTATGGGTCTCCATGAGGTCCCGAGTTTGGAAATGTTCTTCAGACCAGCTGCGACCTGCCAACTACTCAGAGAGTTTGGGTGCCGAACTCATGGACTCCCAGGAACTGTCTGACGTCCTCGAGAACATCAAAGGAAAGCGCGCCACCGCTGTGGACGTCGCTTCCGAGGGCCCTCCACCTCTCGAGGCCAGTGACGCCCCGATTGGTCAGGATTTGACTCTTCCGGAGGGCGACCCTCGGCCAGGGCTTCAGCCAATTCCTGAAGAAGAAGAAGAAGAACATGCCCCGCCAAAGCCTCAGACACCTCCACAAAGGGTGGCATTGCCTCCAGCCCCCACCACTCCAATGCCAGCACCGCATGTGAGAAGGGAGTCGACCCAGACAGTGGAAGAGCCACTCATGGAGCCAATACCCTCCACAAGAAGCCAGACGTCAGCTGAGGAGCGAGAAGATGAGTCCAAGAGAAGGAGACTCAGCAGTGCCTCTTCACTTGACTCTGCCGGCAAGGTAAAGCGGAGGGTGGACCAAATAGAATCAGCGAGACTTGAAAGAGAGGCTTTGAGATACCTGAAGCAGTTGGACAGAGAGGAGAGGGTCGAGAAGGCCAGGAGAAGACATGCGGAGAACTCGCTGGCAGACATTGCAGCCTCCTCAGAGCGAGCTCCAAGTGCTCCTCAGAAGCCTCCAGAAGATCTTCCCGACGAGACACAACAACACGATCCAGATCTCCTAGCCTTCGAGATCAAGTCACACATGGAAGACTTGATGGAAAGGCATCTGCCTGCATTTCATGTCAAACCACAGCAGCAAGGGAAGGAGGTGAATCTCCTAGCGAAACCTGCGAAAGCCAAGAATACTGAATTCGACATGAAGACGGCTACAGCGGAGGAGAGACTAGGCTTCAGAGAGTCTGACGCCTCAGAATGGGAAGCTATACTTTCCTTGAGAGCAGTCAAGGTCTTGAACCAGCAGGAGTCGAAGAGAGTCTTAGAGCAACATCCGGAGAGAGTGATCTCCAGCCGCATGATTCGCCGCAAGAAGCCCACTCCTGGTGTCGGGTCCTTCAAGTTCAAAAGCAGATGGTGCATTCACGGACATCAAGATCCAGACACTGGTACTTTTGAAGTATTTAGCCCAACTCCCAGCACAGAATCAATCACCATGTTCTTCCAGATCTGCGTGAACGAAACTTTGCTGGCCTGCTTCTTAGATGTGAAGAATGCATTTTGCCAAGCGAAAGCTCTCGATAGGCCACGAGGCAAGCTCTATGCCAGGCCCTGCGAAGGCTGTCTGTGCCGCAGGACTGCTTGATAGAAATAGTGGCTCCCATTTATCGATTGGATGATTCTCCCCTGCGATGGCATCGTACTCTCCTCGAGTTCTTCCAGTCACTGGGCTTCGAGAGAACACTTCTGGAACCTTGTTGGCTGGTAAAAAGAGATGAGGACGGTAGAATCATGGCACAGGTTTTAATAGAAGTGGACGACTTGAACTTCGGGATCAAGCCCGAGTACTTAGAGACCTTGAAAGCAGCCCTCGAGGAGAGATTCATCTTTGGAAAGATGGAATTCCAAGAAGCAGATTTTGCGGGTAGGCACATCAAGGTGGAGAAGGACAAGGTCATCATGCACCAAGAGAAGTACATCCTTGAGAAGATCTTTCCACACAAACTCCCCAGAGGGAAGCTGAGAGACAGAACAGCCTTGCTTGATCCTGAAGATTTTGAGGCGCACCGGTCTCTCTTGTACAAGGTCAATTGGGTCGCTCACCAGACCCGCCCAGAGGCGGCTGGCATTGTCAGTTTACTAGCCTCGCGGCTCCACCATGCCACGGTGCATGACCTGAGCTGCTTGAACAAGATCGCCGTCCACCTGAGAAGCACTGCTAGACAAGCATTGATCCTCCACCAGTTTGACAGCGAGAAGATGGTCTTTGTTGCCGCATCCGATGCAGGAGGTATCGATGGAAAACCTATCCTGAATTCCAATGAAGACACGGTTCAAGGAGCTTGGGTCATCCTGGCCACAGGCTCTCTTCCATCAGCATCACACGGCAGGAAAGCTTCTATCCTGTCGTGGAGGTCATCAAAGATCAAGAGGCGTGTTGCCTCCACCCTAGCTGGAGAAGCTCTTGCATTTTCTCAAGCGCTTGGAGAATTAGAGTGGCTACAAGTCATGTTTAGAGATGTAGTCTTTGGGGATGTTTTGAGATCAAACTGGCAAGCTTCCATTTCTCCTTTCCTCGGCGTGTTGAGAGAAGAGTGCGAGCTGAAAAAGAGACTGGAGCAGTGTGGCATCACAGACGCCAAGAGCCTCTTTGATAACCTCAGAAAGGAAAACCCTACTTCAAGACAAGATAGGAGAACCTCGATAGAAGTGGCGATCATCATCGAGGGCATGAGAAAGTCAGACTCTTGCTTGCGATGGTGCCCTCACCCTAGGATGATAGCTGACTCCCTGACAAAAGACGACTTGAGCAAGTCCAACGGGGCGCTTGAAGAACTTCTGAGAACCGGCCGTTTCTGCGTATGGGATGAGAGCGATGAATTAGCTAGGAGAAAGACTGACCCCTCTAGCAAGAATAGGTCCAGGAAGGCCTCTGAGAAGATCAGAGGCGATGGTCAACAGTTGTTCACCAGCATTCATGGCAACATAGATTTGGGGGTGCTGTTCAATCATTTCACCAGTGATCGTCATGTTGCAGACATGTTGCCATGAATGTGACTTTGTGCGTGGGCAAGTCTCAAGCCCGTCAGCCATTGCCCTGTCATTACCTGCTGCGCACTTGATGGAAAAGCGTTGCTCCTCCGCCTTCTGATCTTTCACAGATGATACTGGCCTTCAAGGGTGTCAACTTAACAAGAGACTCTTTTCTATGCCATGAGAGAGAGCATCTTTCCAGCAATAGGGGACCCGTAGATCCGCGAAGAAGATGACGGCAAGGATGCCATCCCCACCTCCACTTGACATGACGACAAACACAACATGAAAACCAAAACACTGATCATTCAGAGCAATATGAGCAATACATAGCAATACCACACTTTCAAAATACTTTTGAAGTGCCAACCGTCACTGCAAACTTGCCGAGCGCCAACCAATGGTTTCCGAGCATACCTCAGTTCTGTGAGATGACAGTCATGTATCAAAGTAGGGTCCTGGAGGATCTTCCAGGGCCAACAAGGAGGTCCACAAAAGAAAGTGACAAAATTTTTGGCAAAATAACAAAAAAGAGGGTTGCTACGAGGTCGCTATGAGGAACCTGAATTCTATGAGTTCTCTACCTTGGAGTCTTGGAGTTGCTGCTCGTTCTAAGGCTGCCAAAAAACCTTGCGCTACCTGCTGCCTTGGAGGCTGCAGTTTTGCACTTTATGAAGGGCTGCATTTGCACTTTAGTAGTCCAGCCACTGAATCCCAAACTCAAACCTTCGTCCAATTTTAATATATATATATATTATATAATATATAAATACATTATGTAATGCTTCTGGCAATGATGCTGGCATGGGGTTCAACATAACATATTAAAGGCATCAAAAAATAAATTTTTAAGGCATCAGTAAAAAAAATAAGGGGTCAAAAAAAAACATTTTTCCTGCGATGGTGCAGTGGTTGCCATTTTCAAATCTTGTGGTCTTTGAATGTCCCGGTCCTTCAGTCCTCTCCCTTGGTCCCCTGGTCCCTTGGTCCTTTGGTCCCTTGGTCCTTTGGTCCTCTGGTCCCTTGGTCCTCCGGTCCCTTGGTCCTCTGGTCTTCTGGTCCCTTGGTCCTTCCGTCCTTTGGCGACTCTGGTGCCTTAAAGCATTTTGAAGATAATCCTTAATTCAACCAACCGTAAAAAAAACCCTAAATCAGCCTCAATAACCCCTAAACTACCCCCCAAGCCAAAGTAAGTCTTAAACGAATCCTAAACCAACCCTCAATCAGCCCTAGACTAACCCTAAATAAACCCTAAACAAATCTTACATAAACCCTAAACAAATCTTACATAAACCCTAAAGGAAACCTAAACGCACCTTAAATGAGTTGTAAGCCTGAAAGCGAAACCAAAATCAACTTTAAACCAATCGCAAATAATCCCTAAACCAACCCCAAATAAACCCTAAGCCAACCCTAAAAAACCATAAACCAACCGTAAACAAACCCTAAAGATCCCTAAAGAACACTTATTAAACAAGCACGAACCAACCCTAAAGAAACCCTGAACCAACCTCAAATAACACCTAAACCAACCACGAACCAATCCCAAATACATCCTGAATCAACCCTAAATAAACTTTGAGCAGCACCTACACAAATCTTGATACCAACCCTAAACAAACCCTAAAACCAACTCTAAATATACCCTAAACAAATCCTAAACCAACCCCAAATAAACAAACAATCAACCCTCAATAGATCCCAAACGAAACCTAAACCACAAAGTCTTGAACGAAATCAAAATAAACCCTAAACCAATCCTCCATAAACACCAAAAAATAACTTTAAATGATATTTGAACAAAACCTAAATAAACCTTTTACCAACCCTGAATAGACACCTATTAAACCATAGGCCAACCCTAAACTAACCCTAAACCAACCTAAGTCAACGTAATAGGCATCAAACCAAACCTAAATCAACGCGAAACCAAACATAAACAAACTTTAAACCAACGTAAGTTTCAAAGCAACCATCGAAAATCAAAATTCGAACTCCAGAGTGTTGCAGCGTCGGTCCCTGCGAATGCTCGATTTCTAGGTCCAATGTCCTGCAAAACCCTTACGGGTGAGAGGCTCCACTTCCAAAACGATGCAAATACCACAGAAATGCTCGGTTTTGTCTCCAAACTGTTGCAAGGGTCATAGAGAACAAGGGATTCCATTTTTTTTTTGTTTTGATGCCGTATTTATTTCTTTGATCCCTCACCCAGAAGGATGCTGGGCGTTCATGCGTGATTTTTTGCCACACACATGGAAGAACAACCAAAACCAAAAATAAAGCTTTGTTGAGGCATCTCAGCTTGGCCATGGATGAGTCATAGTAAACAAGCTCGAATTTCCTGGAGTTTACGCAGTTTTCCGTCACACCCACACACACACACACAGAATCAAAATGAATCAAACCCATGCAGCCACGCACGCATGAGTGCACAACGAGTCGAAATTGCAAGGCATGCATTGGCATCTATTTGATCCTGCGAGCTCACAAGTTCGAGCTCAGACACGATGAGGCCAGCTGACTAGTCCCACGCTCTTTGAGGGGGATCTGGCTGTGCCCTTTTTTTTCCAAACAATTCAAACAATAGAACCCTGAAATACCCTGAATGGTTTGTCGTAGACGGTTGTAAGTCCAGAATGAGAGTACTCAACCAAACTGCAACTTGGGAGATTTACCTGGGCGATTGGGATTGGACCCATTGGGTTTTTAAAAGGATTTTTTTAGGACTGTTTTTTTGTCAATGTTGCCACCGTCATGGTGATCCCCGTGGTCATCACTATTGTTCTATAGGTTGCAACCAGCGCCACCGCCGCCATCACCGCCATCGCGAGCAACATGATGATAACAAAAATAGTAATAGCAACAATTAAACAAGCATCACCATCATCACCACGACCGCCATCATCACATATCATCCCATATCATCACATACTACTGTATCACACATCATAACCTATCAAATCATAACATATCATGACATATCATGACATATCATGACATATCATCACATATCATGACATATCATCACACATATAATCACACATATAATCACACATATAATCACACATATAATCACACATATAATCACACATATAATCACACATATAATCACACATATAATCACACATATAATCACACATATAATCACACATATAATCACACATATAATCACTCGTCACCACCACCACCACCATCATCATCATCATCACCACCACCACCATCACCATCATCATGGTCATCATTACGTGCATTCTTACGTGCACACCGAAGGAACCTGGAAGTCCACCCAAACTACCGCTGGGCAAACAAAAACCACAGCATGAGGATGCTGAAAACAAAGCTGCAGCAAGGTATTGTTCTTGGGCAATCTCTCATGCACTCTATACATGCCAGGATGGCACTGGCGTGGCCATTGTGGGCATGGGCATGCTCATCTTCGCGCAGGCAGCCCGTAACCCTGTTTCATGTTGAAACGTGTCAAGGTTGGTGTTCCGGTTGGGCTAAGATGGTCATAGCGTCATAGACCTTGAACCACTAGAAGACCACAAGAAAATCACTGTGAGATTTGCTTCGCTCAGTCCATGATGGTCTTCAGCGCTGATCCGCCGCGCGTGCCGAAGGTGACCACCTCGGAGAGAGACCATGAACGGACGAACACAGATCTTGCTTTGGCATCCAGCATTTGCAAGCATTTACACATGCATCACTTAAGATTAAGATACTATAAGATACTTTAAGACGCTGCTACAAGTCTTTGCTTGAAATTGGATGTGTGGTAAGTCCTGCTGAACCAGGCGGCGCTGCTAGCCTTCAAGGATGGGTGTTTGGCAAGAGCTAATGCTCTTAGTGGGATGCTGTGTTCTGAAGAGCCTACAAAGACCAAAGCCTTCATAGAGCCAAGTGTTCCGCAAATTGTAATGTTGGGTTATTCAGAGATGTCAAAGAGTTGTTTTAAAGTGAAGTCATCAAACAAGTGTCTTGAATCTTCCTGGGGACCTTCCAGTACCCTAGTTTTTTCTAGACCCAGCATTGAAGCGTTACCAACAGTTTCCGTTCCCAGGTCCTTCCTCTTCTGCCGTAGCCCAAACTGGTGCGTTCCATGCAGATTTAACATATTTGGGGCCCTCGGTCCTAATTTCAATGTTTACCTGTAGTTTTTTTCTTGTGAATTACTTATGGAGAGCTTCCGATAGCCCATTTGACCAGAAAACATGCAAGGAAGATCAATGAAGTCATGGCCAATCGTCCAAGTCCGGCGAACCAGCGACGGCTGCAGGGTTTGCTTTGCGTCTTCTCTCTCTATGCTTTGGTCACAACAGCGTCGAAGCGTTCCATGCCATGGCCCCTATGGTGCCTTGGTGCAATGCCAACTTTCAGAATGCAAGCAAATTGAAAGCATTCTCTGACAGCATTTGTATCATTCATTTCGGAATGAAGGATGCAAAATCTGTTGTTCATCTAGGATGTGGCCAGGAATAAATATCAGACAATCTGAACCAGATCGAACCCCTCAATCCCGCTGGGGCAATTGTGTTGGATGGGTTTTGAGAAATCATCAATACTATGTGTCACTCCCTGGTGGATACGGTGTGAGCGTGGAGACTTCAAGTTGTTCTGAAGGTACAATCTCAGTATGAAATTGTTGTTTTCACCCTGAGGAGGTAGCAACTTCTAGTGATTTTAGTCCCTCTCTGAATTGCAACGCCATGCAGCACCTTCAAGCCTGAAAATTGAAAAACCACTCCATTGCGGCATTGCGTTCATTGTTCATGCTGTCAGGTGCCTTTTCTTTGTTTACGTCATTTCGTCGTCGGCTTCTCGGAGACGAAACAGAATGGACAACTTGGAGAAAGCCTGCAGTGCCCAGATCCTCTTTATGTATTTTATGTATCAGTTGACAAACTTTTGGGCACGAACACAACTCAGCACGGTGCTCACAATGATCCTAGATTTCTAGATCTGCAACCCATCAGATTGACTCAGGATTTTCTGTAGGATAGATCCAGCCAGCCAGCTTATGGCAATGCCATACACAAAGGGAAAGGCCAAGACAGCATTTGTTTCTGCTTAACTAAGTCACCAAGTGCAGTCAGACACTTAATTGTGTCCATGTTGCCTGTGTGATCAACTAGAGGCAACTCACATGATACTTTAGACATCTTTAGACATCTTTGGACCTCTTTGAACATCTTTGGATTTTTCTGGACTGGTGGCAAGGTAACTTTGGTTGCGCTGCACTGTTGTCCTAAGACTCTGAACGGAGACTGGGAAAGTGCTGGTTAGGGTCAAACCCGTTCGAAACACTTCCTCCTGAAGCTGCATTGTTCCTGAAAACCCATGCCTCCAAAGCATAATCGCATCCTCCCGTTGTTTCTTGATAGAATCTCTCGCCGTAACTTTTGTTTTTATTGTACACAATTCACTTGAGGCTTCGAGTCTGTCTACAAAAAGGTTCGTTCTTTTTGGTGCAATCGGAAACATGATTTTGCAGGTACCCTCTGACATGCGCCTCCCGATCTATATTTTTTAGGGCCTGACATGCTGAATCTGTGACCTGTCTTTAGTTCCACCTAAGATTTGGAGCCTTACCTTGGTACGCAAGAGTGGTGTAGAGTCAGTCGCCAAGGGTCTCAACGCTTCGACTACTTAGGAAGCAATTTCTGTGTTTCTTCCACTAACAGTGCAGAATCACCTCTGATGCAGACAGGTCGCTTAGTAGGCGCATCTGTGGCATTCTACAGCATTGAAATCAGTTGACAAGATGGATGCACTCAGCTTTTCCATCAAAGTTTCCAAGACTTGCCGTTCTGAAAACCAAGTGGCACAGCCTGCCCTGGCGAATTCTGACCGCTAACTTCTCCTTCCGTGCTCTGCGAGACAATAAGCTATCTTTTTGCGCCCAAAGCTTGTCCACCTCAAGTCTGGAACAGAATCTAGTGAGAGAATCTGCTGTGGCTCGGCTCTCAAGCTTTCCTGTGATTGCAGGGTGCCAGTTTGCTTTATGATCTATGCCGCTGCAATGCACGGAAAGAGCACAGAGAAGACAAGGCGACCTTGTGGGCATTGTGGGCCTTGTGGGTGAGATTTGTTGAGCCGTACACTTTTTCGTGGACTCAGTGGCAGAAGTGGTGAAATGATGTGAAATGGAATATATACAGGTCCCCCCAGCGGGTGTGAAGAGGTGGCCGTCTGGCAGTTTAAGAGGCAGTGCAGGCGCACCCCCCAGAAAGGACAATTGGATATAATTATATAGTCTGAACATGCCAAAATGTCTTTAACTTCTTTAACCGACTGTAACCATCACTTTTTCCCCTTCCCCACATCTTTGTGTGGGGTTCTTGTTTTTGGTTGTGCACTCCCGCCTGCTTCCTCCTCCTCCCGCCCGCCGCCGCCTGGCTCACACAACTTGTCCACACACAACTTACTCACACACACACAACTTACTCTCACACAACTTATATACTCACACACACAACTTGTCCACACACAACTTCCTCGCACACACACACAACTTGTCCACACACAACTTACTCACACGCAACTTGTCCACACACAATCACACACACACACACAAAACTTACTGGGCGTGGCAGGCGTGGCACTTATGGGTCTGGCGGGCGCCGCGGTGATTTGCGTGGCAGGTGTGGCACTTGGTGACATCAACCTTCACTTTGCGTGGCAGGTGTGGCACTTGGTGACATGGACCTTCACTTTGCGTGGCAGGCGCGGGACTTATGGCATTGGGCTGGCTCTGGTGGCGCGCTTGGGTCTGGCGGGTGCCGCGGCTGTTTGCGTGGCAGGCGTGGCGCTTGGTGACAGCGTTCAATCGCAAGTATGAAATTGTGTAGAGGATGAATCAATAATTGTGTATGAAATGGTAGCATGTCATTCTTGCTTTTGAGTGCATACTCTCACACAGCTTGTTCACACACACACACATTGATTCATGCACAACTTACTCCCACACGCACACAACTTACTCACACACAACTCTCACAAGCTTGTCCACACACACGACGGCGGCAGGCAGGCACGGACATGCTGTGCTGCGAACATGATCAGGCGGATGGCAGGGTTGGCGACATGGACCTTCACTTTGCGTGGCGTGGCAGCACTGTGCTGGCTCTGGTGGTGCCCTTGAGTCTGGCGGGCGCCGCGGTGATTTGCGTGGCAGGTGTGGCACTTGGTGACATCAACCTTCACTTTGCGTGGCAGGTGTGGCACTTGGTGACATGGACCTTCACTTTGCGTGGCAGGCGCGGGACTTATGGCATTGGGCTGGCTCTGGTGGCGCGCTTGGGTCTGGCGGGTGCCGCGGCTGTTTGCGTGGCAGGCGTGGCGCTTGGTGACATGGACCTTCACTTTGCGTGGCATGCGTGGCACTTGGCGACATAGACCGTCACTTTGCGTGGCAGGCGTGGCACTTACGGCATTGGGCTGGCTCTCGTGGCGCGCTTGGGTCTGGCGGGCGCCGCGGTGGTTTGCGTGGTATAGGCGCGGCACTTGGTGACATAGACCTTCACTTTGCGTGGCAGGCGTGGCACTTGGCGCCATGGACCTTCACTTTGCGTGGCAAGCATGGCACTTACGGCACTGGGCTGGCTCTGGTGGCGCGCTTGGATCTGGCGGGCGCCGCGGCTGTTTGCGTGGCAGGCGTGGCACTTGGCGACATAGACCGTCACTTTGCGTGGCAAGCGTGGCACTTGCGGCATTGGGCTGGCTCTGGTGGCGCGCGTGGGTCTGGCGGGCGCCGCGGTGGTTTGCGTGGCAGGCGTGGCGCTTGGTGACATAGACCTTCACTTTGCGTGGCAGTCGTGGCACCTGGTGACATGGACCTTCACTTTGCGTGGCAGGCGTGTCATCAACCTTCACTTTGCGTGGCAGGCGTGGCGCTTGGCGACATGGACCTTCACTTTGTGTGGCCGGTGTGGGACTTATGGCACTGTGCTGGCTCTGGTGGTGCCCTTGAGTCTGGCGGGCGCCGCGGCTGTTTGCGTGGCAGGTGTGGCGCTTGGTGACATCGACCTTCACTTTGCGTGGCGGGCTGGCTCTGGTGGCGCGCTTGGGTCTGGCGGGCGCCGCGCTGTTTGGCAGGCGTGGCACTTGGTGACAGCGACCTTCACTTTGCGTGGCAGGTGTGGCACTTGGTGACATGGACCTTCACTTTGCGTGGCAAGCATGGCACTTACGGCACTGGGCTGGCTCTGGTGGCGCGCTTGGATCTGGTGGGCGCCGCGGCTGTTTGCGTGGCAGGCGTGGCACTTGGCGACATGGACCGTCACTTTGCGTGGCAGGTGTGGGACTTATGGCGCTGGGCTGGCTCTGGTGGCGCGCTTGGGTCTGGCGAGCGCCGCGCTGTTTGGCAGGCGTGGCACTTGGTGACAGCGACCTTCACTTTGCGTGGCAGGTGTGGCACTTGGTGACATGGACCTTCACTTTGTGTGGCAGGCGTGGGAGTTATGGCACTGGGCTGGCTCTGGTGGCGCGCTTGGGTCTGGCGGGCGCCGCAGCTGTTTGCGTGGCAGGCGTGGCACTTGGTGACAGCAACGTTCATGCATCGCAAGTATGAAATTGTGTAGAGGATAAATGCGCAATAATTGTGTATGAAATGGTAGCATGTCATTCTTGCTTTTGAGTGCATACTCTCACACAGCTTGTTCACACACACACACAATTGATTCATGCACACAACTTACTCCCACACGCACACAACTTACTCACACACAACTCTCACAAGCACACTACTTACACTACTTACTCACACACACACACAACTTGTCCACACACACGACGGCGGCAGGCAGGCACGGACATGTTTACCTCTCTGACACTTGCTGCGAACATGATCAGGCGGATGGCAGGGTTGGCGACATGGACCTTCACTTTGCGTGGCAGGCGTGGCACTTACAGCACTGGGCGGGCTCTGTTGGTGCGCTTGGGTCTGGCGGGCGTCGCAGCTGTTTGTGTGGCAGGCGTGGCACTTGGTGACAGCAACGTTCATGCATCGCAAGTATGAAATTGTGTAGAGGATAAATGCGCAATAATTGTGTATGAAATGGTAGCATGTCATTCTTGCTTTTGAGTGCATACTCTCACACAGCTTGTTCACAGACAACTTACTCACACACACACAACTTACTCTCACACGCACACAACTTACTCTCACACGCACACTACTGACCCTACTTACTCAATCTGACTCACACACAACTTGTCCACACACACAACTTGCCCCCACACACGACGACGGCAGGCAGGCACGGACATGTTTACGTCCCTGACACTAGCTGCGAACATGATCAGACGGATGGCAGGGTTGTCGCTTTGCTTTGTGTAGTTGCCTTGGCGTTTGGAGTGCGAGATGCGCTACGTACCTTTCAATGTCTTTTGGGCTCTAAGTTAGCTGTGGGAGTTCAACATTGAATAAGACTAGTGGTCTCTTATGTCTGATCTCGGAGCTTTGACATGCCGTGTGACTTCCAGGGGTATACATGTTCATTTTCTTTGCTGTTGTTGGCCCAGTGGTAGGTAATGTCAAGAAGGTTGAGAACATTCGGTCACTTGTACTATCACTTTGTTGTCTGTGATGCCGGAGTTGTGACACGCCGTGTGCTTCGTTGGGGCGTGGTGTGATGAGGCCGGTGCATCGCAAGTCGCAGTTCAACATTGAATTGACTAAGTTAGCTGCTACCGGCCCTACGGTGTACGCGACTAGATTGATGCGCCGTGCGAAAATCTCAAAATCTCTCGTCACTCCTATCAGGCTTGCGGTACAAGTGAGGCAATTTTGATACCGCGTTCGACGCCCAAGGAAAAAGGCTTTTAACCAAATCACATAACGTTGCCTCTGGTCTTTTGCAAATGTGCACAGGTATGGAAGATGTTCTCGAGCGGCATGTCTGTTGAACATGTTTCGATTTGTCGGCTGGAGCTGCCATTGATACTGATTGCCGCGCCGGAAACTCTTGCTTCGTCAGCTCACCAAAGAGTCATGAGTCACTGCATCGTTTAGTTGCCCATGCGTGTTGTTGCTGTCTGCCTTGCCTGACCTGCCAGGTACCTCTGCGAAGCTCGTTCGCCAACCTTCTGCATTCGCCAAGCGCCTGCAGCAGACCGTCTCATGACGGTCTGCGCGCACTGCTTGGCCACATTGCACATGCTGCCAAGACCGGCCACCGCCATTCACCTATACTCATGGTGTTGGCATGCCCGTTTTGGCTA